TTTTTTTTTTTTTTTTTTTTTTTTTTTTTTTTTTTTTTACATGTTGCTATATACACAATGAGAAATAATAACAAAAAAATGGTTATCTCGTGGTTTTGTTTTGCAACTCCTAGCTGACAAAGAGCCTCATGCCAGGAATATTGCTTTCTGAGTGCAGTGCAGAGTATTCTCAGCAATGCAAGTAGGAATTAAATGTCTGTATCCTGGGGTAATACATACGTAGAGGTGGGAGATCACGGAAGATGATCACCCTACGGGCATTTGCTGTGATGCTCTGATACTCCTTATTCTCCAAAGGATGTACAATATGATGCAGATTCCAGCTGATAAACATATTTTTAATTTTGTAGTATGTGAGCATGTTTCTTAAAAGGACATGACAGTACATTTATCTAATAAGTCTGGTAATTACAAGTAAGATCTAGCTTTGCTACAAATGAAATAATATTTCTTTAACCACTTGCTTTTCTCATGGAGCAGCCCTTTGTAGGAAAGAAGCATTGCTGATTCCCTGTATAGTCACTCAGTTGAAGTCCTGTTCTTTGTACAAGTCTGTTTTGCAACAACAAGACAGAAGGTAGGGCAGGGTGGCACCTTAAAGACTATTTGGGTCAGAGAGGCATGAGCTTTTGTAGGTGGCAGCCTACCTTATTAGATGCTATAATGAACTAGGCTGTTGCCTGTAAAACAAAAAAACAAAAAAAAATCACGCCTCTCAAAACCAGCTAGGTGCTGTTCTGGTCTACCTTCTACCTCACTCAGGCTAACATGGCTAACTACTCCTCTACAAGGAGAAGGCAAAGAAATGTAGTTAAGCGCTTACCCAGATATGGGGCTTCAGCCTCTCGCTAAAGTGTATGTGTAACTCTGAATAGCATTCCAAAAGAAAAAAAATGCTATAGTGCAAACATCTATTATGCTAGCATTTCCACCCCACTTTACCAATCCAGCCTATTTCTGGCTTGCAGTATCTCTCTCATTCCAGGCCTTAGTCACTTGAAGAGACTCTGTGCTACTCAAAGTTTGTGAATCTTGCTGAAGTAAATTAAATAGTTTGTGGTGGTGTAAAGTGCCCAAATAGAAACCAGGTCAAAACTGTTATTCTCATTCTTTATGGTGGCCCAACTCAGAATGCTAAAATCCATGTCTTGAAATAAAATGATTCACCCATTGCTGTACTTGTCTTAACTCAGTGGTGCTCAATTTTTCAACCCTGTTGGCCAGATAAGTGGCACTGGACAAGTCTGCAGGCCAGATTGGGCCTTGTCCTGCCTTTGTTTTGAACTGAAGAAAAAAAAATCCATAGAGATGGAGACTGCTTTATTTTTTTGCTCTTTTTCAGAATGCCTGAGCATGTAGATAGCACTATGTTTTATACTAGGACACCACTGGGAGAAATGCATCCTAGGTACCTGGAGTAAGAGGTTTTGCTGAACCTGAGAAAATGACTTGTATTTCTTCTTCCAAATAGTGTGCTTTTTCACTCTGAGGCATAAGTCCTCTTAATAATGAAAAGCATTTCATGTCTTTCATGAATTTTCTAAGCAGATCACTTTCTTTGCACGTTATGGAAAATGTCCATTACTGAAAAAGTACCCTTCTTAGTCTCTTGGCTACTGGAATATAACAACACTGCCAGTTATCAGGATGACTACAAGTCTCACTACTTTTAACTGCTGTGTAGGATGCATTTTTCTAAGCAGGTTGTAAAGTAGTAGAGTAAGTCTAACAGCTTTTTGGAGTTAGTTGCTCAGATTTGACTAATTTGAGTTTAGAAGAGGAGGATCATTAGTTCTACTTTAACAGTACACTCTGGCATGATGTAATACTTATTCCTGGATATGGGGCAAAAGCCTGGCTTCATAGAAGTTGTGAGAGGGGAGGAAAAAGCCCCACCAGCATGGCCCGGACCCTCACCCGCCATGCCCTGACACTCGCCTTAGGAGCTGGGAGGGGACTCTGACATGGGCTTGGCAGTTTTGTAGCTACCTGAACCTGAGTACAGGTGAACACTGGGGGCGTAGCTTCAGAGCAGCGTGGGCTGCTCAAAAGGCAGCCGGGGATTCAACTGAGCCAGTGCCGGGAAGACAGTAGCAGAACACCGGTTGGGAGATGTTGGCTACAGAGCCAGGAGGCTCCAGCCTCAGCCACCCTGAGAAGGAGCCAGCTGCTTGCCGGAGGACCCCAGCCGGTGAGGCAGAATGTAGTCTTGGGGGCTGGCCAGGGCAAGGGAGCCCTGTAGAGGGGCAGCAACCAGAAGGGTCGCTACTGGGAAGCGGCAGGGCTTTGACCGGGAGCTTAGGCACTGTGGCTGGGGATGGATCCTCAAGCCTGAAGGGATCCTCAGACAGCCCCACAGGCATGGAGGATCAGAGCCCCCAGAAGGGGGAGAGAGGTGATGCCAGCTAGAAGGACCAGAACAACCAGACCTTAGGTCAGCCAGGCCCCAGGGAGGGGATGCTAGAAGAGCTGGTAGAAATGGGGCATAGAGTGGTTGCCTGTACCCATGCCTACTGAAGGAGAGGGGGATGGACGAGCCTCCCTAGGAGATTAAGGGCCCCAAGACAGGGAGACAATCTTGGGAGCCCTGCCAGCAGGGGCCAGTCATTCTCAGTTAAGTTTGCAGTTTGGCCCTGGACGGAGCAGGTTAATTTCTTAGTAGAGGGGAAGCCATCCCAAAGGCGAGGGGCGAACCCATGAAGATTGATGGCTAGGAAGATCCGTCCCTTCCAAGGTGGGCAGTGTGGGAAGACCTGTGGGGAGCAGCATCTACCCAGGCCGAGGATGTGGTAAGGATGGGGTAAGGGGGAGGTTTGGAGCCCCACAAAGACACCCCAGGGCCGAGACCCCTCTGGGTCACCAACAGGGAACTGCCTCCCCAACACTAACATTAGAAGTGGCAGGCGAGAAAGGGGCAGCGCCCAGACCATCTAGGGGGCATTGAAGCTGGGTCTCACTCTGTCAGTGCCTTGCCCCCCAGCAAACATCAAAGAGGGCCTGGAAACCTTACAGCACATACCAGTGACAGAAGTCAATACAGAACTCCCACTCCACTGATTACAAAGGGGCGAGGATTTCACCATTGGTGCCAAGCCACAAGGTGCTAAGCATACTAAAAATGCAAGCAGACACAGGAAGTGGGAAGCTACACTGCCTTCCATTTTCTTTATTGTTGCAGCTTTGATAAGAAAAGTCTTTATTATACACTCTTGGATTTTACATTTCATTTTGTTGTTATGCTAAAATGCCTGCTCCCAGTGGTCACGTGTTTGTAAAATAAAACTTAAGGGTTGGTGTTGATTCTCCATTTTACTTTGGAGGTCATTTATAATCAACAGAATGTTTGCTACACACACTACCATCCAATTCTGTGTAATTAATATATTTGGGAACAAGAATCTGAAAATGAAATGAAACCTAATCAATCACAGTCTGTAAATGTCCATCCAGGGTTGTATAGGGCAGGTAAATGGCATGATTTTTAATGAACTAACCTTACATTTCTGGAAATTGACTTTCCAATGGTGCTTGCTGAAAAGTTGCATCTCCATATTTATTTATGTTAAA